TTTGATTTATAAATAAATAAAAAATAAATAACTGAAGACTCCTTAATGATGGAGGGCTTTGATGGAGGATAGCACAATGTTGTTTGCCCTTGTGTATGCGCTTTATCTATTTGCATACACACACAGAGATAACGAAGTGCATGAAGGATCCTGAAAGACGAATACATTTATTACTGCATAATCACTATGCTCGTTTTCTGATGCTACAGTGGGTAGTTTTATTAAGGACATATATACTTGCTCACCCCCCCCAACCTGGTATAGGTGGTAATCAATCAACAACGCCACTTGGACTTGACTTTGTCCAACTGGTCAGCCTCCCAGGGAATCAATGAGCACAAATCTGACCTCCAGAATAACAATATCCAAAACAACTGGAGGGGGTTATATTTCTCTACCACTGAAATCAAGGTGGCAGCTTTTAAGAAAGGGATGATGAAGACCAATTTCATCAAGACACAGCTGAGCTAAAATGCTTCACAATATTTAACACCAGTTCTCATGGATTACAGAGACCATCTTCTTATCACATCACATATTAATTAACATATCTACATTATTTGTTTATTTATTGGGCTTAAATTCCACTCTACTTGCTGAGTGGCATACCTACCCAATATCTGTAAATCAAGCTGAAAGGGAAAAAACAAAAAACAAAATTGCAGTGATAATAACCAATAACACATATACATATATGCCGGGATTGTCAGTTACATTAAACAACCCCCAAGCCAAGTTGTAATGGCTTTCTCAGAAACCCTAATCCATATATCCTATCTAACTATCGCTTTAGTAAGGAACAACATCTATCCTAGGGTGTTTCAAACTGTTCTGTGGAAGCATTCTTTTTTGTTTTATTTTCTTTATTATTATATATTTTTGAAAGAATATTCTAAATAGATCATGCAGATAAAAGAACTGAGTATCAAGGTCTATCATTAGAATTTTGCCTTTTGATCAGGGGTTCCAGGAATTTTTTTTCATTAACAAGTTCTGTGCCTTGTAAAAGTTTGAAAACCTCTGATCCATCCTCTCTCTCATTTCTCCTATTACCATTCCCCTTGCTTCTTTTTCTTCCTGGGTGTGTGTGCACATGCGTACTTATTCTATTCTCAGCACCAGGCTCCATCTATCTGTGATAGTAGACTATAATCCATGAACATTTAGGAAAAAAATGAAGTTCTTAGTCTTTAAAAAGCCATCAAACTCTTTTTTTTTTTTTTTTTGCTATGCAAGTCAGACAACTACTGGAAATGTGTGTGTGTGTGTGTGTGTGTGTGTAGAAAGAGAGATACAAAATGCAACTATTGCAAAAACATAATTCTCCAGTAATCTGTCACCCCAAAGAAAATAAGCCTGATTAGAGCCACCATCTGAAAACATCTTACCTGCCAGAGAAACTAAGTGGAGGAACTTTTGCAGATTCAGGAATCAGGATCTGATTCAGTATTCATACTGCAAAAGTGATCATGTGGTGGACAAATATTAAAAAGACCCTATAATAAACAAAGAAACTTGTAATACAGTACAAGAACCTGAGGGAAAATGGACTACAGAAAGAAAATTGGTGCTAGATAACCAGTTTCGTGAAGGCATCACCTGCCAGGTCCATAAAGAGGGTCTAAGAAAGGGGATAAGAAACGCTTGTCCAGCTAGGGCTCCTGGCTGCTTGTCATCTCCTAATTCATCTCTGCTTATCTACAAAAAACTCCTTCTTCCCTCAGCCAAATGTCCCTGTGCTAAGGGAAGTACCTCAGCCTGTGATGGGTTTCCCCAACCAGGGACCTTCCGGATAAGAGGTTTCAACTCAAACCACTCCCAACTAGAAACAGTAATTAGCTATCAGTGGCCAACATTGGTGCCCACACTCTGGAGAACAACAGGGAAAGTCCCTTAGAGTCACACTGAATCATTCACCAGAATTGTACTTCATACACAACTAGGGATGTACGCTGTTCCTGTGACAGTATAGCTCCATCATGTGGCAAACCCATGCAAGGCAAATGAAAACTATACTGGACTGGACTGCATTCCTGTTCATCATTCTTATTAGGGCCATACTGTCCTTTGGAATCAAGGGCATAAGATGCTTTGGAGCATGAAGGGGCCTGAACGCAACTCCTTAAAGGAGATTTGCCTTTTTCCTGGAAAAAGACTGATTTCGTTTAAGATGTGACAGGTGACTGGGGAAGATGGCAACTTTTCTCTATCTAAACTTGATGTGGAAAAGAGGCCCTTGGCTGTTTCTTGACCAAGAAGGAGCTGATACCACAACTGACTAATGCTAATTACGGCCTTGCACATTAAAGTTACCTCCTTTTTCTTTAAATGCTTTCTTTATCAGAGATGTGATCCAGTCAGCTGGTCTATTTCTTTTTTCACTTCTGAGCTAGTTCTGGTTATAGGCTATGGCTCTCCACAATTGGCAAGCAGCAGCTGCCACCCCCCCCCAAAAAAAAGTTCTTCTGATTGAGAGTCTTTCCATGGAAATGTAAGGAAGAGGCATCAGGGATGCAATTTACTTGTCCTTTAGCGACGGGCTTCATGTTTAACATTTGAATGTGCCCTGAGAGTATGAGTCAATCAGAAATGACGAACCCGTGAGCCACATATGGCCTGCCCCAGTCCCATTTTGGAACACCTCAATCTGGGCAGCACAAATGCTCGATTTTTAAGAGCTGAAAATAAAGGCTAAAATATGTGTTGAGCTTCTGTTAGGATTTGATCACCTCATTTGCCTTAAAAGATCTTCCCAAAATACAAAAAGTACCCAACATTTCAGCCCCAGCCACCTGGAGATTTCATCCCATCACCGGTACTCCATTGATCCTTGAGATAGCACTCTGGTCTTCAATGATCATAAACCATCAATGAAACTTTTTCCCCAGACAAGTGATTCTCCTTGATTAGCTTGACCAAACTGCTTTCCTCTTCTCCAGTGGATACCCAGGCACACCTCACAAACCTCCCATTTGCAAAAAAGTCACCATCACTGATATGTTTCTGAAATTTAAGTAGGCCTTTTTTTTCTTAAGCAGAGCCCCCAGTTGCGAGCAAGGGTACAGACTTCCACAAGTCTAAAATAGTTGAAATCAAGGTATTTTTATTGATGGAAGCAGAATGAAAACAAAAACATCCATAAATGCAGACAACTGAAAAATAGGCAGTCATAATTTTTAGTTTCACTTCCCTGGTATTTTGCATAAGATTGCAGCCAAAGGCTAAAATTATTTTAATGAAAGATGTGAACTTCTATAACCTTTACTTGTTAATTGAACACAGAGCTGCCTGTATAAGCTGCAGCAAAGCATTAGGGAAGAGGGACAAAGTAGAACTGTTTATAAACTTTAGCCAATTCAAAATTTTATATTATATTGAATATAGCAACCTACATCTGATAGGGAGTTGAAAAATGTGTGATTTATGTTAATTTGCTTACATTATTCAATTTTTTTTAAACTTGGGGAAGAATAAAGAATCCTATCTGCAGTAACTGGGAATCTTATTCACATTCTGAGATTTCAGCAGGTATAACCCTTATATATATGATCCCCAGCTCTAAGGACTAGAAACACTTTTTTATTTCCAAGTAAAAAGCTCCCAGGTAGCTAAATCTCATGTCTGATAGAGGTTTTGCTTCTATTCAACTTCTTGCTTTAGTTTGGCACACATTCCAGTTCCTACAAAGGCTCTTGGTTGCTCAGAGGAACATTTTCTGGTTCTATCAGCAGATGAATGTTGATCGGGCTCCATAGAGAAGATCATCCAACTTCTGTCCCTGCTGCTGTGTAGACTTGTGAATGAGAACAAAGATTTCTTCTTAACCTGGTTTCTGCTGTGGCTGGTCAGGAAATTCTGCCTCCGTATCACAAAGGAATCCCGATCTGCCCTCTGTTAAAATGGTCATTTTCGGCAAAAGTACCAGACACCAACAATGATGATTAAACCCAACACTAACACCGTCATCACCGGGACTATAACCCAGATGCGAGACTTCCCTGCAATAGAACATTAAGAGATGGCTTGGACCTGAGATTGTTATAGAAGCGTTTGCTGACTTTCTGCATGTGCGTAATTGCACTTTGCTGTTTTGTTGACATTTCTCTGACCAACTGGATCAAGAATCCATTTCATTCTGCGACTGAGGAAACCACAGAGCTGGTAAGACTGCTGTCTCCACCTTCTGAGGCAATATGTCCCCTGCCGCTGGGGACAAGCAGCAGGGTTGGGCTTAAAGGGCTCTCGTGGTCTGTTTGTGGTCTTCCTGGAAGCAGTAGATGAAAACTGATGCTGAATTAGATGGGCCCTTGGAGACATTCCATCACAGGACACTTCTGCTAAAGCCTCCTTGAGAACTGACTCTCCAGTGCTTTATGGTGCAGATTAATAGCACCCATGCTATGGTTCTTATGGGACCAATATCTGCTGTCAGGAATGGTCTCCTCCCAGGGTCTCATGATGAGAACACTTCTCTTCTCTTCCTGTCCCTTTAAAATGTGGAAGAAATAGACTAGAGAGACAAAATCCAGGGCAACCAACCATTCAATCGCAGTTGGATGATACTACATGGAAGCCAGGAGGCCATGTCTATGTGAAGCTGCTTTTCCCTTTTTTAGAACATTCTTCCAGAGATTGGGAGCTTCAGTATCTCTCACATTTATTCATAGCAACTCACGCTGACCAGGACAGAGTAGGGAAGTCAATCTTTCCCTCTCAAAATGTGGCCGGTTTTACTATATATTGATCTCCCTTGAAATTCCTGAGATGTTTCTCCAGAGCACTCTTCCCAACGTGGTACCATCCAGATGTGCTGGATTTCAACGCCCATATTCCCCAAACATGGCAACCTTCAGCTTGTGGGTTCAGAATTATTGGTGTTCCCCACACATCAGGAGTACACTAGGCCAGTGAAAGCTCCTCTGGAGAACTACCACCTCACTACTGCCCAGCACCTGCAAATTTGCCAGTCAAATTTTTAATTGTAAATATTAAACATGGATATAAGTAAAAGAAGGAGAAATGTGCAAATCTGAAAAATAAAAACATTTATCCTACCTTCAAAGACAATGTCAATCTGTGCTGAATTCTTGCCGTAAACATTATGGGCTAGGCAACGGTAAGTCCCATTATGGAACTCCTTAGCTGAACGAATTGTTACAGTCTTATTGCCGTTTGAGAACTCTACATCAGCTTTGGGGGGAAGATCCCAGGAAAATTCTGGATGGGGTTTTCCTTTAGCATCACATGTCACCACAATGTTTGCATCCACTTTGTAGGTCACATGAGTTGCTGATATGTTGACATTATAAGGCTTAGCTGCAAGAAGAAACCAAAGAGGTGAGTTACAGAAATCTTGTCTACCATTTCATGTACAGCATTGACTGATAGCACAGAAATGTATACAAGCAAGACTGCTCCATTTCTCTGTCCACTCTTCAGGCACCACTTTCCTATCAGATATTCTGTTTTGTTCTGTTTTGATAAAGATTTGTCATTAAAAATCCGGGGGGGGGGGACCTCTAGATCTTTTAGTAAAGGGGATTTACTGTAGATGTAGAGGATGGCTGAGAATCCTAAACATTTATTTAGATTTACTGTGGAACTCCCCCATATACTCACAGTATGCTTCTCCCACAGCACTTCATGGACTGATCATGTAATTACCTTGTTTCATGGTCAGTTCATAAAGCACTTTAGGACAGACAGCCTCTGAACAATGAACATTGTGCTGCTGGAGATGGCATTTTTATAATGAAAGAAGAAATATATGTAGGCTGTCTGGGTACCTCTTTAATTTAAGCAAGTAAGTTAATTATTGTTAAGGGGAAGATGAACACTAGCCAGACTTCAGTACTGCTAGCATTCCTCCTGCTACGGATACCTGGACGGTGAAATTCCCATGTTCATAAAAAATAAAGTTATTATAAGGTGTTACATTGAAAAAAGCAAACCTGGTAATGGATGGCAGGCCAGAAGATCAATACAGTATAGCACCATTATTACCCAGTCATTAGGGAAACTAATGTCTACCAGAATGTGCCCAAAGCAAAACAGATCCTACAGAGCGCTGGACTAAAGAAGCTCTAGCTTTGACATCAGATGCAAGCATGGACAAGCTACAAAGCTGGCTACATGCTCCCTCTGCCAAATTACACTAGTCAAGTGGAAGAGAAGGTCTCAGCCTGCCACATCCTATTCTCACTTCACTGTACTGAACTCCAAGAATGAAACCAAGATATTTCCCACAGCTTAGCCTCCCCAGCAATTCAACTATGGCAAGGGTGGCAAGTAATATCTGGTGTAAATAATGTGACAAGAGCATCCTTGGCCTGGGGGTACATAGTCACTCCATGATTGCTGAACAGTTTCTGCAGAAACGTATGGTGCTTCTGAAATCTTGACACTCATTTATTTAGTCAGCAATGGGACAAAAATGTTCTGCAGACAAGAACAAGGAAATAATCTTCAGCATTCTTTGTGAGAAGGGAGGGGAAGGAAAGGTGGGTTTGATGTGATTGCTTAAATGCTGATCTCACTATCAAGGACAAGCCCTAGATTTTCCAAGCCAGTACAAATTGTCAGAGAGAAACATGACATCTAATAACAAATAATCCCTTCTAGCCTAAAGGAAAAGAAATCTGCCACAGAATAAATGCAACTTACCCACAACCTTCAAAATTCGAGTTGCATTTTTTCTCAGCTCTTGTGAACCCACCAGGAGGTTGGCCTCACAGAGGATCTCAGCCCCGTCATCCTGCTCTAAATTAGCCATAAAGTTGTATTCCACAGATGGTTCTCCATTGCTACTGTTCAGGATACTACCACCTCTGCTCAGGGAAATGTTGATGTTAGATGGGACGGAGCCGCTCACCTTCAAGCTAGAGATGTTGCACACGATTTTGTCCAAATGATCACTCACAACTTCAGAAACTGGATATATAGCTGGAGTAGAGAATTCTAGATTGGAATAACAAAAGATAGGAATGACCAGTATTTAGAAAAATAAATGGGACCTAGCTCTTCAAAGAGGCCAAGCAATCTTGGCCTCCTGGAGATAGTAATGCCATCAAGAATTATTAGTATTATATGTTGTTATTATTATTATTAATATTAATGTTATTTCCATACATTGTGAAAGTGACCCTAGATTGTCTAATGGATGCAGTTATAGATGAACCCATGGTATGCAAAATCTAAGATGGAAAAGCTTAGTAGATGAGCATGAGACAAAAGGAAGAGGGAGAAGAGAGATATTACTGCAGTGTTTCTCAACCTTGGCAGCTTTAAGATGTGTGGACTTCAACTCCCAGAATTCCCCAGCCAGTATTGGCTTCTGATATATCTTGGTACTGTGACTTGATTAATTTTATCAATGATGAGGATTAAATATTCTCTCCCACACCATTTAATGGTGACTATGGCAGTTGTACCATGACTGCTTTTCAATCTGAAGAGTAACATTATTATGAGAAACAAATCG